CAACCTATAATAGTCATTATATTTCCAACATCACAGGGGTTTGTTAGGAATGAATGAAATAACGGGACAGGTGCACTGATCCTTGTGACACTCTTCAAGAAAGGCAGTGCAAGCCCTGGCTGATTTGGCTCAGCAGTTAGAGTGTCAGCCTGTGGACCAGAGAGGCCCAGGTTTGGTTCCCACTAAGGGCACATACCTCGGTTGCAATTTGTCCCCAACCCCAGACTGGGGTCGTGTGGGTGGCAACCAGTCGATGTGTCTCTCTCACATCGATGTTTCTCTCTCTCTTCCTCCCTCTCTCCCTCCTGCTCTATCTGAAGATAAATGCAAAAAGTGTCCTCGGGTGAGAATTAAAATAAATTAAAAAAAAGAAAGGCAGTGTAAAGGTTCTTCATAATAATGAATGAAAGATCCACCACCATAACTAAATCTATTCACACTTCCTTTTTCTTAATACCCAAAAGTTGTCAAGAGACAAACTGGTACATCCGGACTAGCATATCCTCTAAGTTCTCTTTCACTAATCCATAAAGGCAGGCTATGGTAACAAGAACACACAGTCAGTGATAGATGAACAGTAATTATCAAATGCAAGGATAAGCAGAAGACGATGTACAGTTCATTTAACAAATGTTTTGTCAACTGTAAACCTAAATTGTATGTTTTGATCCTTCTACAAAAACTCACCAAGATGTAGGCATGAGCAAGACAGACAAACTCCTGGCTCTCATGGTAGAGGAATTCTAATGAAATCATCAAACATTTGGGAAAAGCAACTCCATGAAATACCAAACACAATGTCTCTTTTCAAAGAGAGGAGTTAACATCCAGGAAAAAGAGTTAATAGAGAAAACAAAAGACTTTAAGTATAATTATTATTCTCATTATATTGAGAAAATGTTGCTTCTATAAAACAAGAACAGATTATGACATAAAAGGAAAATGTGAGTAAACATTTATGTTTAGATACATCTAAACAAAATCTTAGAAAACCAAAGATAAAGAGAAAATGCTAAGGGTTTTCAGAGTCGTATTATAGGTATAAGAAATTTTGTGATATTCAAGGACTGACTACAGTCCAAGTTTTAAAAAAATACTAAAGAGCATACTTCTTCAAATCAAACAATGAAACAACAAATATTGAGTAAAAAAACTGCAGAAAGATAATACAATAAACTATTATTTGCAAATATTTTAAAACATCAACCCATAAATATTTTTATGGAAATAGACTTAAACAAAAAAATATAAAAACACATATGGTCATAATGCATAAGTGTAAGAGGTAAGCCAGTGGGGTAGGGCTCTGCCTGGGTACTTTTTCAAGAAGAAACCACCACCATCATCAGAACCACAAATAATCTCAACACAGGGGAGAGAGTGGGTGAGACAGGGAGCAAGATAAGACATGTAAAACCTACTTAAGAGTCTTCTCTTGTTCTGGTCAAGAGTATGGATACTAATTAAATCCAGATCTTGGAAGTAAAAGAAAAAAAAAAAAGTTAAGTATGTGTGTTAAAAATTTAAGGTTAGCCCTGGCCAGTTTGGCTCAGCGGTGAGAGTGTTGGCCCATGAACCAATGAGTCGCAGGTTTGATTCCGGTCAAGGACACGAACCTCGGTTGTGATTCATCCCCAGCCCTGGTTGGAGTCATGCGGGAGGCAGCCACTCAATGTGTCCCTTTCACATAGATGTTTCTCCGCCCCCCGCCCGTCACCACCCTATCTGAACAAAAGTGGAAAAATGTCCTCGGGTGAGGATAAAAAAGATTAAGGTTAACCACTAAAAATAATTTTGAAATAGATAATATTTATTTCCAAATCATCAGAGGAAAGAAATGACACAGAGAAGGCAACCAATACAAAAGACAGCAGACTAAGTTCACCTATAACAATAATCACAATAAATGTGAACTAAATTCACTATTAAAAGACAGACTGGCCCGACTGGTGTGGCTCAGTGAACTTAGTGTCATCCCATGGACTGAGAGGTTTTGGTTCAATTCCTGGTGGGGGCACATGCCCAGGTTTTGGACTCGATCCTTGGTTGGTGATATGCAGGGGGCAGCTGATCAATGTTTATCACACTGAAGTTTCTATCCCTCTCTCCCTCTCTCTCTAAAAAATCAATAAAATCAAATTAAAAAAAAAAAAGACAGACTATCACATTGGAGTTTGAAATATCCAGCTACATACAATATACAAGGTATATGGTAACAAGACATATACCTAAGATAAAGTAGCATGACAGGTACAATTAAAGAAATGAAAAAAGAGCCCTGGCCAGTTTGGCTCAGCGGTTAGAGCATCGGCCTGTGGTCCCGAGAGACCCGGGTTCGGTTCCCGCTAAGGGCATGTACCTCGGTTGCAGTTTGTCCCCGGCCCTGGTTGGTCGTGCGGGTGGCAGCCACTCGATGTGTCCCTTTCACGTCGATGTTTCTCTCTCTCTCTCTCTCCCTCTTACTCTATCTATAAAAAAAAAAAAAAGAAATGAAAAAAGATATAACAAATCAACAATTTAAATAAGAAAGTAAATTAGAATTAAAGAGTTTCATTGTCATGTCACAAGTCTTTTTTTTTTTTTAATGTAATTTTTATAATTGATTTTGGAGGGAGAAAGAGAGAGAGAGAAAAAAAAAACCATTAATCAGTTGCCTTCTGCACATGCCCTGACTGGGGATCAAACTCACAACCTGGGTATGTGCCCTGACCAGGAAGCCAAACCACCACCTTTTGGTGTCTGGGATGGTGCTCCAACCAACAAAGCCACACCGGCTAGGGCATCACAAATCTTAATGTATCTAATGACAGAGCTTCAAAATACAGGGCTGGACAAAAGTAGGTTTACAGTTTTAAGTACACGAGACAGTTTATTCTTCTATAACTGTTTATTAATTATTGTATTATTTTCTATACAAACAACTGTAAGCCTACTTTTGCCCACCCCACATATAATGCAAAAACTGATATCAAAACCAGAAGAGCCCAGCCAGTGTGGCTCAGTGGACTGAGAATCGTCCCATGGACTGACAGGTCCCAGTTCTATTCCCCGTCAGGGCACATGCCCAGATTTCGGGCTCGATCCCCAGTAGGGAGCATGTAGGAGGGAGCCTATTGATGTTTCTTTCACATGTGGATGTTTCCATCTCTCTCTAAACCAAAATAATAATAATAATAATAATAATAATCAATAAAACATATTTAAAAATTTTTTTTAAAAATGACTTTTCCACAATCACAGTGAGATTTAACATACCCTTCTGAAAAATCCACATTTCAAATAAATAGAAAAGATGAGTAAAAAAGGTGTTAAAACTTGACTATATAAATCTAAATATATAAAGGCACACACAGACATACATATATACCCACACTAGTCAATAAACAATATAACCAATGACAGCTTAAGTTTACTATGTATCAGCACACGTACACATGCATATACACACACACACAGCTCAACAGAGGCCCCAAAGCATCAAATACACATAAGCCATATTCTCTGGTCATGCCCCAGTAGAATACAAGAATAATCAGGTGAACTGTTTCATTTAGACTGTCATCAGATGGGCAAAAATGTAGTTTGAGTGAGGGTGTAGGGAAACGGGCATTTATGGAAACTTGAGGAGGGAATATAAATTCGTAATGCCTCTCTGCAAAACAAATTGATATTATCTATCAAAAATTTAAATGTCATACCCTTTGACTCAGCATTTCTATCTTTAGAAATCCTTATTACAAAAATAGTACACATAATCACAAAACCAATGTACAACACACACACACAATGTAATACTAACTACAGCTGCAAAAAAGTAACAACCCAAATATCTATCAAAAGAAAAATGGTTAAGTTATTTCCAGTACATCCATTTCATAAAATGCCAAGCACTGACATGGACAGAATCTCCAAGACACAGTGTGTTTTTTTTTTAAAGTGTAAAAAATATACATGTATCATTAAAATTATGTTAAAATACAAGATAATAGGAAAAGAGAGGAAGGATACACAAGATACTTTTTACTTCTGGAAAGAAAAATGAGAACTTCCATATTTTCATATTTGTCTCTACTGTTTGAATATTTTATGAGTTATACTGCTTGCATAATTCAAAGTCAAGTGATACTTTAAAAAAATTTCTTATTTACTTTCCAGAAAAAAACTGGGATCTTTCTGTTCTCAGTACAAATTTGATGGAACCCATTTTAGAGTACAGGACAAGCATGAACTTCCAATCTGTTCAAGTAAGAACATTTTCTGTTTCCTCTGATGGGAATGCCCTTCCCTCAGATATGGCTCACTCACTAACTTCTTTCAAGTTTTCCAATATCACCTTATTCTGAGGGCTGTCTCTGACTTTTCAATATAAAATGGCAACCCTCTTGCACCTATCCTACCACTCCCCCACTCCCAGACCACCTCCCCTAGCTTTCTGCTTCACTAGGTGTTACATTCACACCTGTCTTAGTGTCCTTATCTCTAAATGTGGGCAATAATAACAGCTACCCCACAGGAGTGCTGCTAGGCTAAATGAGCTGGGAGCACTTAGATGAGTGCTGGGCTCATGGTAACAATCACATTAATGTTTGATTTTTTTTTTGTCTGTTTTGTTTATGATCTGACTTCCCCCTACTTGAATGGCAACCTCAGGAGGCAGGGACTGTATTTTATTTACTATTGCATCCCAAATGCCTGGAACGCGCTTATCAGTAAATATTCATAGTTGTTGAGTCTGATTTAGTACTACAGCCATATGTACAGACAGCTGAGATTACAAGAAAAGACCAATTGTTTTCAGTAAAAGCAAGCTTTCTGCACATTAGCATGACTCATCTGTAATAATTCAATCTACTTTGAAAGCATAACATCTAGGAGTATGACTCCAACAAGCTTCACGTTGGGAAGTGGTACAGTAGCATTGAATTCATTGCTTTCTTAACAACAACATGCAACAGAAATGAAAACATAACGTGGAGTGAGAAGACAAAAGCACAACTTACTTTTCATTCCTGCTTTTGATGCATGGCTGGTAGAGGACTTTGACAGCATTCCCAGCAGAACTAGAATCCGCCTTCGATATGTCTTCCAACAAGGGAAACTTTTTGACACTTCTGGAACTTCCCAAAGATTCAATCACCAAACTGTCTGAGTTTAAAAGCCATAGCTAAAGATATGGAGAGAAAAGTCCAAGTATAAGGATATCACCACCCTATCCATATCTCATATCACCACTCAAAAAAACAAACACAAAACAAAACTATAAAAATATCAGAAAAATATGAGAATCATCTATATAATTTTCAAGGAAGGTAAATCAAAGTATAACCTTGAGCCCTGGCCTGTTTGGCTTGGTGGTTAGAGCGTTGGCCGGGAGACCAAAGTCGGGGGTTTGATTTTGGTCAAGGGCACGTACATTGGTTGCAGCTCGGTCCCCGGCCCTGGTCGGGGTCGTGCGGGAGGCAACCAATCTATGTGTGTCTCTCATATCGATGTTTCTCTCTCTCCCACTCTATGTGAAGGTAAATGGAAAAAATATCCTCAGGTGAGGATTCAAAAAAAAAAGAATAACCTTGGGGTGGGTGGAGGGTTAGCGTTAGGGTAGAACCAAAGAACTTATATGCATATTCACATAACCAGTGCAGTGAAGGCAGGGGTGGGTGTCAATGGGGGGAAAAAGGAGGGACATCTGTAATACTTTCAACAATAAAGATCAATTTAAAATAATAACAATAATGATGATGATGATAATAATAATAAAGAAAAAAGACAACCAGCTAGAAATAAGTATTTGATACATATAACTCAGTTATTATATGTAGCACTCCTAGAAATCCAGCCCAATAGAAATACAGGCAAAGAACATAAACAGAATTAACAGAAGAAATAAGTGATAGAGATATTAAAATGTTAATATAACTAGTAATAAGGAAATGCAAATTTCATACGCCACCCTTTTTCACTTATCAGATGGGCACATACAAGACTGATAACCCCCAGGTCAGAAGGGGGCTTTGGATGGGTACTCCCATACACTGCAGGTGGAAGAGTGTCTGGGGATTCGGATGCCTGTGATTGAATCAGGACCACTCTCAGGAGAAAGGGAGTCAGGTAAACAGGATAAGGCCGAGGAAGGAGCCAGGCAAGGATGTGAACTCAGCTGGAGCGTGGCTCAGCCTGATCCCACAGGGAACTCATACCTACAGTTTATCCCCCCAGCTTTTTGTACCTCAGGGTCCAATCACTGCAGTGGGATGACCAGGTCTGGGTGGGGGACAGCAGAGGACAGGAAACTCCCTGTTCAAGGCAGCACCTGTTAGGTTAACACAAGTCCCAGGAGAAGAGAGCAGCTGTGAGCCATTAGCAGCCCACACTCAGGAGCTCAGAAATAGATGGCCTGGCCAAGAAAAGGGGATCTGGGTGGGGCACCATGAATGTCCACTATAAGGGATAAATTAGTACAACTTTTGATAATTATCAGAGAATTCTAATACTCTATTAGACTAGAAATATTCGTTTCCAAAGCACTAAAATACATGTGCAGAGATTATTTTCACTGCAGCACTGTCTTTAATAGCCATACAATGGAGGTCTAGTCATTAAAGTCTGATCTACATTTACACTAACAAGAAACAATCCTCATGACATACTGTTGAGTGAAGTAAGCATGCTCAAGAGAAATGCTAATCACATGATTCTGGTTGTTTTTTGTTTGTTTGTTTGTTTTTTTACAAACTGACAAATACCCTTGAGTGTATGTACATACAGCTATAAAAGGATAGGGAGAAAATGCTAAAGCACACATATCAGACCATTAATAATGTTTACCTTCAAATACAGCAGGACAAGAGGGGACCAGACAGGGGAACTAATACTTCTCTTATGTTCTTCATGTTGTCTGAATGTGTTTCAAAAATGTATTGCTTTTGCAAAAAAAAGAATTTTTATTTATTAGTAGTAGGTTTAAAAAGTTCTCACTCTGGATTTTTAAGCTGAAAACCTTGCACTAAAAGAAAATTAAAATTGATTTTAGACTATGACTGTGAGGTGTACTTAGTATCAACTTCAATCAGAAAATACTGTATTTGGCTTCTGATAGAAATCATCTGGAATTACAGGAGTGTGGGGTGGCCCTAATGGATGGCCAACTACAAGCCACACTAATAACAATCTCACCTCTGTCCCTCCTTTTAGCTACCTTGTTTCCCTATTACCTTTAAAATTCCTTGAAGGCACTTTTGTTTTACCTTGAGCACCTGGAAAAGTGCCTTTCAATTAAAAAGTGCTCAATATATGTTTACTGGTGGAATAAAACAAATAAAAGGCAGAGAAGAGACTTGGGCCTTGGTTCTTGGATTTTCACACAAATGTCTCAAATTCTTTTCTGCAGAACATTATTTTTTAACAGAAACAGTATAATATTAGATGCTTGTGACACATGTAGGGGATGATTCTGCTAACTGCAGAGCCTCTTTTCTAAAACCTGGCACTACTTTTCAAACATCCGAGTGTTGAAATCAGGATCTTGATGAGAGAGCTGCACTCCCTTGTTCACTGCAGTTTATTTACAAAAATCAAGATGTAGAAACAATCTGAATGTCCATCAACAAATTAACAGATAAAGCAACGTGGCACACACATATATATAATGGAATATTATCCAGCCTTAAAAAAGAAGGAAATCTTGTACTATGCAACCACATGAATGAACCTTGAGGACATTATGCTAAGTGAAACAAACAAGACACAGGAGAAATAATGCATGATCCCATTTACATGAGGGATCTAAACTAGTCTAACTCACAGAAGTAGAGAGTAGAATGGTGGTTGCCAGGGGCTGGGGAGGGAGAAATGAGGACTGCTAATCAGAGTATAAAGCTTCAGTTAGGCAATATGAGTAGGTTCTAGAGATCTGCTGTACAACACTGTGCTTATAATTAACAATACTGTGTTGTGAACTTAAAAATCTGTGAAGTGGGTATGTCTCATGCTAAGTTCTTACCACAAATCAAACAAACAAACAAACAAAATACATAAAAGTATCAAATAGAAAACAAAAGTGAGAGACAGAACTGTGTTATACTGACTAAGAAAGCCACTCAAAACCGAGTGAAAAACTTTATTTTTTGGTATGAGCTTCTACAGAGAAGCAATCAGGTTATATTTCTCTCTATACCCCTAGTACCTAGCACATAGCGACACTTGATCATTTGTTATTAAATGAACAGTGTTTGATTTGTGAATTAAACTGACATTAAAAATTCATTTTTTAAATCAACTGTTTTCTAGACCTGAGAATTAAGAAAAAGGAATGACAAAAACTAAACAATTTCTGAGAAACTGGATTACTACAGCTACAAAAAGCCAGGTGAGCCCTGGGTGGTTTGGCTCAGCAGTCAACGCGTTGGTCCTCAAATCAAGGGTCGTGGGTTCAATTCCCAGTCAAGGGCACGTACCTGAATTGTGGGTGATGAAAGAGGCAACCAATGGATATTTCTCTCTCTCTCCCTCTCTCTCTTTTTCTCCCCCTCCTTCCCTTCCATTCTACCTAAAAATCAATGGAAAAATATCCTCGGGTGAGTTTTGAAATAATTTCTTACCAAGATATACGCTTTGCCGTCATGACCTTGAATACTGAATCTAAAAGTGCTTCTAGCAGAGGAGAGTTCCACCAGACACTGGGCGATAATGCTCTGTACAAACTGAGACCTGTTTGAACAGAAATCAATTTTCACAACGTGCCTCTCATAATAACTCTCACTGACAAGATGAGCCAAAAATGCCCACAGGGCACCTAAAAGGTAGAGGCATACGCATGCCAGACTTTTCTATATGCTGCCCCTTCCCTTGAAACCTGTCCTAATGTGGATTTTAATATATTTTAATGTATTTGTGTTTGCTCTAGTCTTCTTATATCCTATTCTCCACTCCTTAACACATTTTCCACCACAAACCTAACAGAATAAGAAACTGTATGTTAGACAAGTCAGTGTTCCATTTGTGCTGTAGCACATTAAACTAAGTTTAAAAAGGTGAGATATTTCCTCTCCAAAATTAGGCAGTATTATCTACAATATTTCAGTTTGGATCCCCTCAAAGTGTCAGATCTTAGGTACATAACTAAAGTATTTATAGGAGAATAAAATTCAAGGTTATATTTAGATTGCCATAAATTTTAGACATCAATAATGAACTAAAATATACTATAGTTAATTTTTGTTTGCAAACTAAAACGATTAAAAGAAAAGAAACACTAATGGATTTAGTGGCTAAGTACCTTTAAAAAAAAACAAATTAAAAACGAAACACAGGAGTCATTTGAAAATGGACCCATGTTTTAAATATTAAGTAAGTCAAATTACAACCAGGAATAATTATTCAAAAACCTATTGATGATTAGGCTATAAGATCATGGCGATTTGGCACATAGAAAGAAACAAAAATCCTTTCTGATTTAGATTTATATGAGCACATTTGTCCATAATATTATGTATGCAAACCATAAATAAATCCTCAAGTCTTTTACATGTGTGGGCTGGTCCAACTAACATTTCCAAATAAAGAGAGGTATAAATAGAAATGAATTTCCAAATAATCAACTGTATCTATCTTTTCCTACATCTGAAATTACAGAGTAAATATAATTTGCTATTGTACCTTGGTATGATGGGAAATTTTCTCTCAGATGGCTGAATAATCATCTCTGTTATGTAAAACTTGATGGTTTCTAGAAACAAAAAAAAATAGAAAATTCAAAATCTCCCCCAAACACTAACATTTTTATTGAGGGCATTGTTGGTCCCAAATTATGACATTCAAACTAAATAGGTGACATATTGGTACAACTTTTTAAAAAGTGACTGAGTTTAAGAAGACAAAGCCTTGATGACGACACGGAGACAATCAGCCCTAAGACTCCGCATAGCTCAGTGTCTCTTCTGCAGAGCATGTCCCAAGTGCATCTGAGTCAGCAAGACTCTGCCCACTCACATGGAAGATTATAAAAATTCGTCACATCATAGCCATGGCCCATTATTTAGAAATTAGTCACTTGGTTTCCTCATTTCTAAAGTAGTCACTGAAAAAAGGTGTTTTAGTCATAGTACCTCAAAGCCCTTGTACAGATGCTGTGAACCTCACATTAGCATCTACCCAGAATTTCAGAGTTTAAAATAATGTACAATTCCTACCAAATTCGGCTACCAGGTTACTTAGTTTACAGAAAAATTTAAATAGTAAACTAAATATATAATAGAAATAAATATGAATATAACCATTTTTCATTTTTTAAAAAACCTATGAAAAATGTTTACTCTCAGTAGTAATGAAGGAAATACAAATTAAAAAGAGATTATTTTAAGCATATAATAAATAAAATAATTTTAATGATAAGTGCAGCATTGATTAACACATGGAGAAATGGATACACATTCACATTCTGTGGTTAGAATTGAAAATGATAGATTTCTGAAAAGCCATTTGACAAAGGTCTTAAAAATGTGTATATACTTTGATACTGTAAGAATTTATCTCTAAGGAATAATTACAGGTATCTGCAAAATGTCTATAAAGATGATCATAATATTAATAGAAAAATAGTGAAAAATTAAATATCTAAAAATTAGGGATGGTTGGGTTAAATAAACAATTATACATTTATGCACAAGAATTCTATAAAGACATTAAAAAGTGTACCAAATAACTTTTGTTTTAATAAGATAAGAGTTGTTACTAATAGACTTGCTAAAAATGTTTTCAGTTGCCCAATATAACACAGAAAAAGGTAAGAAAATTCAATACCATTCAACATATTATTGTATCTCTAAAGCCATGATGAATTTATCTATTTCTCTTTGAAGTTCAGTTTTCATTTTACTATTTTGTTTATTTTCTCCTATTTTATTTATTTATTTTTGTTACAGATGTTTCTCCTTTTTTCCCCACTGATACCACCTACCCTCTCCCTCCCTGCCATGTCCCCAGTTTGTTCTCTATTTCCACTGTTCATGCATACATGCTTATAAGTTCTGTGGTTTATCTCTCCACCCTCACCCACTCTTCTGGGATTTAGTCTGTACCCCACTTCCACATCTCTGGGACTACACCGTTCCTCAGACTGTTATGTTCATTATATTCCACAAATAAGTGAGATCATGTGATATTTGTCTTTCTCTGCTTGGCTTGTTTCGCTTAGGATAATACTCTCCAGGCCACTCCATGTTGCCTCAAAGGATAAGAGATCTTTCCTTCTTACAGCTGCATAGTACTCCACTGTGTATATGTACTATAGCTTTTTTATCTATTTGTCTACTGATGGACATTTGAGCTATTTCCAGATCTTAGCTATTGTAAATAGTGCTGCTATGAACGTGCGGGTACATATATTCTTTCTGATTTGTGTTTCAGGCTTCTTAGGGTATATTCCTAGGAGTGGGATCACTGGGCCAAAAGGCAGTTCAATTTTTAATATTTTGAGGTAACACCATAGTGTATTCCACAGTGGCTGCACCAGTCTGCATTCCCACCAGCAGTGTACCAGAGTCCCTTTTTCTCCACACCCTCGTCAACACTTGTTCTTTGATGATTTGTTGATGGCGGCCATTCTGACAGGTGTGAGGTGATACCTCACTGTTGTTTTAATTTGCATCTCTCTGATGATTAGTGATGTTGAACATTTCTTCATATGTCTCTTAGCCATTTGTATGTACTGTTTGGAGAGGTGTCTATTTAGTTCCTCTGCCCATTTTTAAATTGGATTCTTTGTCTTCCTTTTGTTGAGCTGTATGAGCACTCTATATGTATTGGAAATTAACGACTTATATGATGTATCATTGGCAATTATGCTCTCCCATACAGTGGGTTGCCTTTCCATTTTGGTGGTTTTATCTTTTTTTTTTTTTTTATCCTCACCAGAGGATATTTTTCCATATTTTGTACAGATAGAGTGGGAGGGAGAGAGAGGAAGGAGAGAGAGAGAGAAACATCGACGTGAAAGGGACACATCGAGTGGCTGCCACCCGCACGACCAACCAGGGCCGGGGACAAACTGCAACCGAAGTACGTGCCCTTAGCGGGAACCGAACCTGGGTCTCTCCGGACTGCAGGCCGACGCTCTAACCGAGGAGCCAAACTGGCCAGGGCTGGTGGTTTTATCTTTTGCTGTGCTTCAGAAGCTTTATAGTTTGATGTAGTCCCATGAGTTCATTCTCTCCTTTGATTCTGTTGCCTTAGGGGATGTATTAGTGAAAATTCTGCTGTGTATGATATCTAAAATTTTGTTGCCTACATTTTCTTCTAGTATTTTTATGGATTCATGAGTCACATTTAAGTCTTTTATCCATTTTGAGTTTATTCTTGTGTATGGTGTAAGTTAACGGTCTAGTTTAATTTTTTTGCATGTAGCCGTCCAATTTTACCAACACCATTTATTAAAGAGACTGTCTTTACTCCACTGTATGCTCTTGCCCCCTTTGTCAAATATTAATTGAACATACTGTCTTCGGTCTATTTCTGGGTTCTCTATTCTGTTCCATGGATCTATCTGCCTGTTCTTGTGCCAGTACCAGGCTGTTTTGATTACAGTAGCTTTGTAGTATAACCTGAAATCCGGTAATGTGATCCCTCCAACTTTGTTCTTCTTTTTCAAGATTGCTGTGGCTATTCGGGGTCTTTTTTGCTTCCATGTGAACTTTTGAAGTATTTGTTCTACTTCTGTGAAGTATGTCGTTGGTATTTTGATGGGGATTGCATTGCATTGAATCAATAGATTGCTTTGGGTAGTATGAACATTTTAATAATGTTAATTCTTCCAATCTATGAACAAGGTATGTGCTTCCAATTTTTTATATCTTCATCTATTTCTTCTTTCAATGACCTGTAGTTTTCTGCGAATAGGTCCTTTATTTCTTTGGTTAAGTTTATTCTTAGGTATCTTAATTTTTTTGCCGCTATGATAAATGGGATTCTTTCTTTAGTTTCTCTTTCTGTAAATTCATCATTGGTGTATAAGAATGCCGTCTATTTCTTGACATTAATTTTGTATCCTGCTACTTTGCCAAATTCATTTATTAAGTCTAGTAAATTTTTGATGGAGTCTTTGGGGTTTTCTACGTACAGTATCATGTCATCTGTGAATAATGACAGTTTTACTTCCTCCTTTCCAATTTGGATCCTTTTTATTTTTTCTTCCTGTCTGATTGCTGTGACTAAGACTTCCAGTACTATGTTAAATAAGAGTGGCGAAAGTGGTCATCCTTGTCTTGTACCTGTTCTTAAGGGAAATGCTTTTAGTTTTGACCCACTGATTATGATGTTGGCTGTAGGTCTTTCATATATGGTCTTTATTATGTCAAGATATGATACCTCTATTCCTAGATTGCTGAGCGTTTTTATCAGGAATGGATGCTGGGTTTTGTCGAATGCTTTTTCAGCATGTATTAATATGATCATTTGATTTTTATCTTTCATTTTGTTTATGTAGTGTATCACATTTATTGCTTTGTGAATACTGTACCAGCCTTGCATCCCTGGGATGAATCCCACTTGGTCATGGTGAATAATTTCTTTGATGTATTGCTGGATTTGATTTGCTAGTATTTTGTTCAGGATTTTGGCATCTATGTTCATCACGGATATTGGCCTGTAGTTTTCTTTCCCTGTAGTGTCTTTTTGTAGTTTTGTAATTAGAATTATGCTGGCCTCATAAAATGAGTTTGGAAGTCTTCCTTCTTCTTGAATTTTTTGAAATAGTTTGAGGAGAATGGGCATTAGTTCTTCTTTGAATGTTCCGTAAAATTCCCTCGTGAAGCCGTCCAGGCCTGGGCTTTTGTTTGCTGGGAGAGTTGTTTTGTGTGTGTGTGTGTGTGTGTGTGGTACATGCCCCTAGCAGGAACTGAACATGTGACTTTCTGGTCCACAGGATGACGCTCAACCACAGAGCCAAACTAGCCAGGGTGGGAGAGTCTTGATTACATCTTCATTTCTTTTCCTGTTATTGGTCTGTTCAAGTTTTCTATCTCTTCCCAGCTCAGTTTTGGGAGATTATGTGTTTCTAGAAATTTGTACATTTCACTTAGATTGTCGAATATGTTGCCGTATATTGTTCATAGTAGTTGTTAACGATCTTTTGTATTTCTGTGGTGTCAGTTGTTACTTCTCCTCTTTCATTTCTGATTTTGTGTATTTGGGTTCTCTCTCTTTGTTTCTCGGTGAGTCTAGCTAAGGGTCCATCAGTGTTGTTTATCTTTTCTAAAAAAACAGCTCTTTGTTCCATTGATCCTTTAAATTGTTTTTTTGTTTGTTTGTTTGTTTGTTTTTTGGACTGTATGTCGTTTATTTCTGCTCTGATCTTTACTATTTCCTTCCTTCTACTTGCTCTGGGGTTTTCTTTTTGTTTGTTTTCTAGTTCTTTAAGTTGTGAGGTGAGAGAGTCTATTAGAAATTTTTCTTGTTTCTTGAGGTATGCCTGTAGTGCTATGAACTTCCCTTGCAGAACTGCTTTCGCTGAATCCCATAGATTTTGTGTTGTTGTGTGTTCATTTTCATTGGTTTCCAGGTAGTTTTCAATTTTTTCCTTGATCTCCATGGTAACCCATTCATTGTTCAATAACATGCTATTTTGCTTCCATGTGTTCAAATGTCTTTGCATGTTCTTGTTGCAGTTGATTTCTAGTTTCATGCCATTGTGATCTGAGAAGATGCTTGATATGACTTCAATCTTCTTGAACT